TCCAGGAAAAAGAAAGAACTCTTAGAAATGGAATATAGCACCAGTAAATTTGTATATTATAGCGAATAAACATTTAAACGAGGCATGTTAGCCTCATTTAACTGGCTAATGAAGACAAACTGTTAAAAGGGGCTTGAGCGGTTTTGGAGCATGGCGTCCGCCTCGAGTGCTGGAGGTCCCGGGTGTAGGCCCCAGAGAAGGCTGGGATTTTTTCACGTGGACTTCTAGTAATTTACCCTGGTATCTGGGTAGTAAAATAGGACGCCCGTGCGTATTGCTGTGCACGTAAAAAAAAATCCCTTGGCAGTTAGATATTGAAAAGAGTAGCATAACGGCGCTGCCCGGGCAAAATGTTAAGTTAAAAATATACCCAAAGTATTTCAGGATGCTCGCCGGTGGAACGAAGTTTGCGTACTGCGCTGAGAATCTTCAGACTCGGGCTTGAGTTAGAAGTAGAACGGAGCACTTACGGGTTACTACTCTTGTGCAATGATGTTGATCCGTTGTATAAAACACATAAACGATCAAGTGTAAGAAGGACCACTTATTACGAAGCTATCAAACATTATTTTCAGCAGCGGTTTTCCCTCGTTTCGAAATTTTTAATTTTAAAAAAGTACATATTAAATGAACTCTTGTTAATGAATATGAGAAAGAAGACAAAGCTCCCATGATAATAATAGAAAATATTAAAGATAGGTGTTTTTCTTCTAACTGATCGAGAAACCATGAGTTGTAAACCCTTTGGCTCGGTACTATGGAGGTCGCAACCATACGGCCTTGATTTCTTGATAGGTACTGTAAATCTGGGAAATATATGGCTTTTCTGCCTACCCCGACCCCGAACTCGGACCACAAGAAGGAAGTCACCGGTCACCACGCAGCTGGTTTAACCAACCGAACTAGCGCACCGGGGAGTAAAGAAAGATAGACTCGGTCAGCACGTCCTTTACAGGGTGCAACCCCCCCCCCCCCCCCCCTTTCCCCCCCCTTACTTTTGTGTGCAGTCACTGTTGCTCATTACTGAACCTACTAGACTACTAAAAGAAAATATTAAACAGAATCTCGCAAACAAATATTGCTAGACAACAAAGTAAAATAATAATAACCCAAATAACTTTGGAATTTCCATATATGTGCATTGTGAATATCGCAGCTATCTTCTTCTTCTTCGTTCGACATCAGTCATGCTAAACATTGAGTCGCGTCTGGGTCACAAATAGGATTGTGCGTTTAAGGTCGCCACCGGTCACCCATAGCTTCTCTCGCAATGTGGGTCCCTGGGCCAGATCCACAGTCTTTGCTGGGAGAGGTAAGGGCAGTACTGCAATATGTGCTCAGGGGTCTGTCTTTCTGCTCCACAATCACAGGCAACAGATTCTTTTATGCCTATCCTGTACAGGTGTGCTCGAAGACCACAGTGTCCAGTCCGAAGTCTAAAAATTGACGTTTGTTCTTTCCTGTTGAGTTTGTTTATGCTGTCAATCTCTGGTCTGTAATCTCCGTTCTGCCTTCTCTACTCCCGCTTGAAAGACTGCTTTAGCGCTGTTTTGGTTTCCTTGTGGGTGTGTAGTGGATGAGGTTGTGAAAGCTATCTTAAAAGTAACAACCATATAAACATTCGCGCAATATTAACAGCCAATGTAGGACAAATATAATTATCCGGATCTACAAAGAATACAGAAACTATATATGCTAGGGCCTTTAGTGTCGCACTATCTTCTCATTCATACCTTCAATGTTTCCACGACTGCTAGCATTTTTAATGCTTTTACATATAGGGATCCAGTAGTCAATTGCGCGCTAGCATATAGACAGGCACACGCGCGCACACAAACATTATTTGGTTGTACAATATATATGTGATAAAATTACACGTCTACTACTCCTACTACTGCTGCTGTTGCTACCACTACTACAGATACTAACTATATTTTCACTCTTTCTAACTTCCAACATATTGCTTCTTGAATTTCCGCAAAGAAAGTTCTCCGAGAAACAAATGCGACCCTCGGGAAACCATATTGTCTGTTCGTATTAGAGACGTATCGACTTTCTGTGTACTTTTCACAGACACGGTGCCTTGTAAATGAAGAACAAGATACGACTTGTATTGGCGGACGACCTTCACAGCTTGAACTTCTGTTCTTCGGCACATCAATTATGATTTATTGACAGCACCCAGCACAGACTCGTGTGTCCATATCGGTGAAGAAACAGACTGACACGGCGTGTTTATTGATCGTTGAAAAGAAAGGTTCTTAGTGGTTTTATGTAGTACCTAGTTAGACCCTTGGGGATTTCTCTATATAAAATATAGAGCATTAGTTACATTTACACAGATAGGCTGGTTCTGCATCGCTGGGTGGTGATTTGATGCATGACAAGACGAATTTGGCCAAGGCTCTTTGCGGAAATATGCGGAAGAGCGAATAAATGTATCATCATGGTCTGAAGAGAATAGATCTATCTAGAGCAGTGTTTCCCAAACTTGTCTTGGTCGCGGCGCCTTTTTTCAATTATAATTCTTTCACGGCACCCTAACCTAAGTAAAAGTATGACTGTTCGTGTTTTGCTTAATTTAATTGTGAAGCTTTTACAATATTTCGCGGCACCCCTGTGAAGTCGTGGCTGCCTGGGCGCCGTGGCGCACAGTTTGGGAATCACTGTTCTATAGGACCTAACGCTTAGAGGAACCGCTAGCCAAACGGACACGGACACACACGCGCGCGTGTGCAGGCCCCAGTGTCCAATCTTCGTCATGTTATTTTAACTGTTTTCAACCCGTTCTAGCATTGTTTTACTTTTCTTTATCATGCCCAATTTCGTGTCAAGAATAAGATGCTTTGTGATCAAATCCCGTCATCCACCTTTACTTTCCCTGGTACCCATTTAAGGCTGGTTCGACTTGTAATCTACGACCTCAGAATCCGCAGTCGAGCCTTTAGCCGCTTCACCACCTCTCGCCTTACTGGTATTAATCTTGGGAATAATGAATGCCCTAGCCTGCTGCTCCAAACATGAATTTGTGGTTCCTATCGCACTTCAAAGAAACCTCAGGCAACAGATTCAAGGTGAACACTGATCAGAACCTTGAACGATGATAACATGGACTGATGACGTAGTTAGGTCAATCGAAGTGCATATGTGTTCATGGTGAGCCCAAGAGGAAAACCATAAAGGATTAAGTGACAGCTCTGCTGTTACAATAATCAATCCCACAATGCAAACCATGGCTGCAACAAGGAAGTGGTAGCGTTGCTGGGTACCCAAGAGTCATACTTGCATGCATACTGAGTACCTAGTGAATATGTATTTTTTAAACTTCAGACTTGCTTTATCAGATAAGAATGGATTCTCATTTAATGAATCATAAATGGCTTGATAAAAAGCCACCCTTGTTCCGGCTATGCTGGTGTTCATGACAACAAGCATGCAGATCGTCTGAGGACAAAGCAGTTACTAGGACAATTCACTAAGACATTTATGGCAACAAGCGTAACTTCGTACTCCTTGTCTATGATGGTGGATATGGGGGTGCAACAAGGGGCTGGCAGACATGAATATTTAAAGGAACAAGATGTCTGACCAATAAATGCAGAACGAGCGTGATCAGTCATATTGTGTTCTTAGAGACATTCAGGAGATCTGAGCAAATGTGGATCTGTCCAGAGTGTTGTAATGATAGTCCACACTAACCACTAGTCTTGAAGCAGAAGTGACAGAAACTTTGGGTACAAATGTGTGCCAATAGTATCAACGCTGATATGCTGCTGACCAGTCACACTGAAATAACACAATTCTCTTCAGCCAATTGCAGTAAATGTGTTTATTGTTCTGATAATGTTAGAGTTGGCAAAGACAATAGTGAAGAAAAGAGACTTGTAGTAGAAGCACTGAAAAGGATAAGGACAAAATACCATCAACAAAATCACATTTTATTGAATACTGAACAATGGTAAGGGGAACATTTCTGTTCCTATAACAATACAGATGTTCTAATGATGATATAACAATATGCATAAAGGCTACAATAACCATTTTAATGGTAAAATGGCAAGATCTGTGCACCATCAACAGCAGGGTTTAACCTTTCACAGAGGAATACCCAAACTAGACAGACTGACCTTGCCAAAGCGGGATAGATTAGTTTCTGAGTTAGAGTAAAGAGCTTCAGATGTACCACATTCCCACTGAGAAGTGGCCGGCTGAGCAGCTATGAACGCTGAACTCTTTTCTGGAAGACCCAGGTCTGACTCCGCAGAAAGGTGGTGTAAATTTTTTTTTCTGTCAGGGTAAAAATCCTGACCTGAACAGTCTGTGGCTGGCGACTGCAAAATCCTAAGGCAAAGACCTCTTCGTCCCCGTCACCCCCATTTTTGTCATCATATGCCATGCAGACAAGCAGGGGAAACCATTATTTCTAATCTCATATGGTCATCAGAGTCTTGGGAGGAAGTCTGTGGATACCCTCTTTATTTCTTGATTATTTATTCATTTCTTGAGTAGCACATCTGATCTTTAAATGGTTTAAATTATGTTAAATAGAAAATGATTCATTATTTTTTTGCACTTAAGTGAATATAATATGTGATTCACCAACGCACTGAATTTGAAACAAGGTGAGTCAATTTTAAAAAGTCTATAAATTCAATACATGTCACCCTTATAAATTAGAACAAAGACACACACAACAGATTGCACAATTTATTGCCTGACATATTTCATTCTACCTCATCAGCTGAATAGTCCAGTACTGCCTTGTAAAACAGGCGGTTCTTTTGAGTGCAGTAAATTTTATATTGCACTCAGAATGATTCATTTATTTGCTTCAATATATTTAACTGTTACTTAGTATTCACTAGACGAAATACCAGGAAATGGTAGGAAATAAATTGTGAAATTTATTATTTGTCTCTTCTTTGATCAAAGTCTATAAATTCTTAACATTATTTATTTATGAGATACATTTTTTCATATTTTTTTTTCCTAAACATCACCTAAACATCATCTTCTCTGACTTTCAAAACAATCTTTCCCAAGTTTTCATTTGTTTCCATCAATTTATGTGCTTGAATTATTTCTGACAATAGAAACACTTTGTAAATGACAGGCCGGAATGTTCCATCTGCAAATAACTTGCTGGTCTGCTGAGCAAAATCACGGACCAAGGATGCTTTGAACTGCAAATAAAAACATTGAAGTAATATCATACGAAACAATACTGTATATGAATTTGATAAATGATTCACTTAGAAGAATACTACAGATTATTTACAGGCTAGGTCTGAATTAAGTAAACAGTATCATATTCATAATAGGTCAGAATAAGGCTCACAGTAGTAAACAGGATGGGTCAGGATTAAGCAAACAATATTTTATACTGGAAGGATCACAAGCTAGTTTTAAAAAAATTTACTATTTGCAGGATGGGTCAAAATATCATTTAATATTCTCTATTATGCGTAAGTACTAGTTAATGAATGTCTGTAGTTTATAAGAAAGTGCTGTTGTTCTCCATGTTTCCTCTTCATACTGCAGTAAATACACCCCTGCTGGGACCAAACTTTTGTTAACATTGACTGAGTGTTCTTCTTAAGTGAGTTCATGTCACAAAGTTTTACTCTATATACAGGAGGGGTCATTTTTATGGCCATGTTATGAGAAGAGAAGATCTGGAGAAACTGTTTGCAACAAGAAGAAGATTAACAGTAGAGCTGAGTTGAGATGATTCAAGAACTGAGATCACAGCACTCTGAGCATTCCCATAAGTGCTTTGTCCCCATCTTCAGCAGTAAGTGCAGAGTTCCAATACTATAGTACCGACTGACTGATTGGCACCTTACCGTCTTTCCAGATGACCTATGGTACCATTAGCAGTTTAATTATATGTCCTTCTTGACTTTTTTCTCAGTGTTGAGTATCAGCCAGATCCCATTGTTTTCTGGCTGCAACACTCTCACTAGACTGTGATGATCCATCTGCTCTTCTGAATTGTCCACATGCTAGAGAGATTAACAGTATTAGAGACAGAGGTCAACAGATGGAGAGAATGCTGGAAGAACTAGCAGAGTGGGACAAAAACATTTAGTGGTTGAATTTATGTAGGGAAATAAAAAGCACATGGTTGTGAAAGAAAAAGAATGACTGACTGTGGGACCCAGCATTCACATAATAATGTTGCTATGTTTCAGGCAGCTAGGACCCAATTACATCCTGCAGCATGCCACAATTTGGAGACCCCTGCCTTTCTTCTTCCTCCTTCTATCCTCATCTCCCATTGGAACAGAAGCATTAAACCAACTCACACTACATCCTTTGCAGACTTGTTTATGATTGGTTGGATTTTGACGTAACATTTTTCTATGCAATGTGTTTGCCAATTGCATGCCAATTCTCTGTTAAGCTACAGAGTTACTATTCCTCACTTGAGCCTGGTTACACATGAGTGATCCCTTCTCCAAGCATCAACATTACAGGGACTCATGTGGATATAATATTCTGGTCATGAACGAACGAACAAACTTTATTTTCAAAGCGTCACAAATTGGGCACACAGGACCCATCTTACATTTGGCCCTTCCAAACACCCATCTTTCACACATCAGATGTATTTTATCAGTACAGCAGATTATTGTTTATATTCATATAACAATAATCATTATATAAATATCAAGAAATAAACACAAAAGCATGAGAGTAAATGCATGCTTACATGCAAACACACACACACACATCCACTCATGCATTCACTGACTCACTCCTCACTCACACACACACATATACATGCATTCATGCAGGAGTGCGAGGAAATGAAAGAGCATCTTTTCACACTACAAAAGCAATAGCTCTGGGTACACTCAGTTGACAAAGACGACATTCTGAAGACCATTTATGAACAACTGCTGACAGAAGATATGAAGTCAGATGACATAACCTACAAAGTAATGTGTGAACAAGGAATTATGTGTGGATAAGGCAAGGAGGATGTATGAGAGGAAGAGAATGAAGAGTTTATAATCAGTGTGCTAGGGGAACTGTAAGCATCAACACCTTAAGACATTTGCTGCGGGAGACGGAGCACCTATAGGTATGCCCAGTGTGATATGATGTCAATTCTAAATCAGTAAATCAGTAATCACTCAGTCCACTCTACAGAGTAAGAAATGTACAAATTTACCTCTACTGATCGGAACCGTAAGGTAGAACATAACAGATGAACTCTCTTGGGCAACATCTGGCCCAGGTTTACATTCACTTGACCACCACCTGAAAAAAAAATGGATGACAATGGATCCCCCATAAGAAAAAGGGAAAACAAAGTTTAACTTTCAGAAGTGATGAATTATATTCTTGTTCTTCTGTAATCGATCTTAACTCTTTCAGTCCCAAGGTAACACATCATTCTTTCATAGGTTCCTACTAAAAGCCCAATGAATACAAAATGTGCCAGTTATACACCCTCTCTAATACCCCTTTGGCCTCTGATGCTAAACCCGCTTGAACCGAAAGAGTTAAAAAGGTGGTTAGTACATTATGTTGTGGTTTACAGCTAGACTGCAAATGTGTGATTTTAAGGCCAACACATATGATTTCAGCAAATGCTTAACTAGTAGACAACGTGTTTGATAAAAAGCAGTGTGTCTGTTCTTTTGCCTCCTAGAATGGGGCCCTAGAAATCACAAGGCCAAAATTTACTGAATAATATAAAGCTAAAAAAACAATTGTCCTTTTGTACCAACAACTTTCTTGTTGGTTTTAATCAACTCTGCCATCTGATGCTTTTAAAATACAAAACTATAGACAGACAGACGGATGGGCGTGCGGATGGACAGACAGACAGACAGACAGACAGACAAGACAGACAGACAGACAGATGTGATGACCGTGCTTTGTGTGCTGGCCTACGGTCACAGCAAGCCAGACAGAAAACCTGTGCAAGAGATGATGGTATGGGAAACTCAGGGCTGGAGAGACAAATGAGGACAAGCCCAAGGCTGGCTCTTGGCAAGTGGTATCACAACTATCAAGCGGACCCACAGCATTGAGTCAGGGGCATGGAATACTGCAAAGAGCATTATTACAATATATATATAATTATTAGCCTGCTGGTGAAAGGATTCAAACAATAATAATAACAAAAATATATTTTATAAAAAAAATTAGTCAACAAGTGTCATAACTTTTAATGAGTCCTTGCATTCAAACAAAGATTCAATTTCCATGGTGAACAATTATTTTTCTTTATTAAAATCATTTTGCGGAAGAGATCGGGGCTTCGCCGCATAATTGTCTCAAAGACAGCAGTGGGCTTACTGTAGCCAACCTTTGTTGTGGAGACAGCACAGAATTTTTATTAATGGTACGGCAGATGTTTTCACAGAAAGTCAATAGGCATAAATGATATCCTTACTCAAAAGTCCATACAGCACCCAGCGTCCATCTGTGGCTATTGATTTAAGATTGTCCTCAAACATGGAGGCGCCCACACAGTCAAGGATCAGATTGACGCCTTTTCCTAGAAGCATACATAAATGGTCCAAATCACAAAAATGTTTCATTGTGAAACTGAACAATGAATACATGGATAATAGATTTCTTCTTTCTTTCTTCTTTCTTTTGTCTATATTCTGCTTTGTGACACTAGGCATCACAGGCTAATAGATGATCAGTGTCCGAGCTAAGGTAGGCTAGGTTACCTGGTATGCTGTGATGTTGTGGAGTCTCAAGATATTAGTGACTCATTAAATCTATCTTCTTCTTGGTTGTCCTTTACCTCTTGTGTTTCTATTTTCATGTTGCACTCTCTCGTTACTGGCATCACTGGATTAATTCTCATTAAATGGTCAAACCATTTTAGTCTTTATAGATTACTGACTGATATTTTTCATTGAATCTCATCTTCTGTTTGTTTTGTACTTCAATTAAAAGATATTTGGGGGGGGGGGGGGGGGGCGCATTTCATTGCATGTTAACCTAACTCTGTGGTATTCAGATGACAAGATTGTGTGATACACATCAGATATAGTCAACTGAAAGTTGTTTGCTGAGAGGACTTACAGTGAAGTCGGTTGATGACTGACAAAAGTGTGTTTAAATACTGACTGGCAATGAAATCTGTACAGTTGCATAAAAAGTACTGCTTCATTTGGAAAAGTAATTTATACGGGTGCCTTTGAAATACTGTGAAGTCTGAATAGATTGATTTGATTTGATTACAGAACTGACATCACAGAACTCGGGGCATTCCCATAAGCGCTCTGTCCCCATCTTCAGCACCCAGTGAAGAGTTACGATACTAATGGTGCCAGTAGCTTTCTGATTAAACGTCCATCTTGCCTTTCCTCTGAGCCTCTGCCAGAACCTCTCGTCACCTCCAACTGCATCAATCTCACCAGACTGTGGTGATCCATCTGCTCCTCCGAATTGTACACGCTCTCCCACAAGGCACTAACCATGTCTGTCCTATCATGTATCAGTATTCCACCAAGTTGTGCAGAGCCAGCCAGTCTGTCGGCCTGTCCATTTCCCAACACACTGGTGTGACCCGGTGAAAAAATCCAGACAATACTCCTCCGCAGCGAAGCATGCCACTCTGCACGAAGCATACCTGTTCTGATCTTCCTCAGCATGCTTTCTGAATCAGTTACAATAACAAGGTGTGTGTGTGTCATGTTCTCTAGCCAGCGGAAAGCTGCAGTGACCGCCTCCACCTCCATTCTTAAGCTGGATGTTGTGGTATCATATGCTAGGCTCTCCTGCACCAAACGTCGACCATTAACTTTTGCTAAGAAGCCCCAAGCACTTCTTTTGCCTCTTGACACTGAACCATCTGGGTAAATGATCAAATCCTCCGAGCGAGCATTATCTTGAATTAATTGCTGAATTTCCACCTCTGTGGCACCTGCTGACCAGTCTCTGCATTCCCGGCTCAGCGTGATTATGACTCTACACAGGTCTGACTGCCCAGGTGGCACTTTGACCCACTCCTCTCCTCGCCTAATGTTCTCAAGGATGCAAACCTGTTTGATTGTGTCTTCTGCCTGAGCCATCCATGACCTCCCTCTTATTAGCCGCTGACCCTTAACTGCACCCAGAGCTTCATGCAGAGGGTGGTCTGTGTCTGCAGCTACCCTGAGATATGACTTTGCCTGCAGCACCTTGTGCCTACCTGCAACCGTCGGCAAACCAAGGATGTATCGCATACACACCACTGGGGTGTCTCTGGTGCAACCCAGAATGACCCGCATAGCCGCGTTCTGTATGCGCTCTAGTCTGTCCATCTGACTCTTTGAGACGATAAGCAGTTCCAGGCCATAATCCACCACTGACAGGATCAGGTGCTGATATAGTGTGAAAAGCATTCTCTGCTCTATGTCAATTGCAGCCATAGTCTTAAGTGCACTAAGTCCTTTTGGGCATCTTGTCACAACACTCTCCACATGGTCCTTAAATGACAGGCTCCTGTCAAATATAATTCCCAGATACTTCAGTTTGCTCTCTCTGTTGACGTCTCTACCATCTATTGTGAGACCTTGGACATTAGTTTTAACGATTCTGTTGTCCAGAGAACACCACAAAACAGACGCCTTTTCCGGGTAGACAACAGCCCTCATTTCTGTACACCACTCAGTCACTTTGTCTACTGTCGCTTGTAGCTCCCGAGCTGTTTGTTCCCTCTCTTCCCCCTGCCTATATGCAAGTATATCATCCGCAAAAGTCAGTATCCTTCCAACTCCTGGTGCTTCTAGGCTTGCAATCTTGCTCGTATACACGTTGAAGAGCACAGGCGAGATGGCGGATCCCTGTGGCAGTCCTGGGGCCAAAGTGCATGGTTCAGAGGTCCATGAGCCCAGTCGGAGAGCAACCCAACGTGAATACAGGACAGCTGCAACCCAATTCACCAGCCATGGATTGACCTCCTTCTCCCTCAGTGCAGTCGTATCTCACTCTGTTATAAGCATCCTCGAGATCCAGTCCTACCGCCATAGTTTTCTGTCTGTTCTGGAACCCTTCATAGACGTCAAAAGCAAAAGTGGCCGCATTTGCCCAAGTGTCCTTTCCTGGCCTGTACCTTCCCAGACCTCTTGGGAGAAGCTTCCCCCTTTCCAAAAATTCTTGTAAATTTACAGCAACTATCTTCTCCAAGACCTTCCCAAATGTGTTTTGTAAGGTGATGATTCTAAAGCCACTAAGCTTTGAATGATCTTTAAAAGGTTTTGGTAGTGGGATTAGATAGCTGTGCACCCAGTCCTGCGGTACTGATGCTGTCTTAATACTCTGGTTAAAACAGTCGGTCTTCTCTGCTAGATCTACATCGCTCAAAGCCTTCATGTGACAAGTCTGAATAAAGAAGACACAAACAACAGATTGCACAATTTATTGCCTGGCATATTTCACTGTATCTTGTCATGTAAATACTACAGAAGCAATTACATAAATGAAGCAAATCAGTGAATTCTTTATAACTGAAGTACAAAGTCAACAACAATCAAAAGCAGCCAAGAGTCACCAACTAGAAAGAGAACGCCAATCACAGAGATGAATGGAGGCTGGTGATATATGCAGTAAAAGAACTTCCTGCATTAGAAAAATGTGATGACATATAAAAGATATACTAACCATTTGTAAGCTTAAGAACTTTTTCTGCAAAGCTGCCTTCTTTATAGTTGATGCCTGCCACAGCCCCTGAAGAAATGGCAAAATCAATTTTCTCTTGGCTACCAGCAGTAACAATAGCAGTGGCTCCAGCTTGCTTAACAAGTTGCACTGCTGCAGTCCCCACTCCACTTCCACCAGCATGAATGAGAACCTGTGTCCTCTTTCTGTAGTTTACCTGCAAACAAAATCGACATATTTAAAATATTTCAACTAACAATACACCACCTGGTGAGCAAACTTCACAAGTGAGTGACTATCTTGCCTAACCACATTTGGCGATCTCCAACATCTTGTATCAGTTCATGTGCTGAAACCTTTCTATGTATTGACAAGAGGCTAACAAGAATCTTCTTGCACTGTCTTCCTGATAACAAATGTCATTACTCACGAAGTCTGCTGAGAAAGGTGGAGACAGGTGAGTTCCATGCAGAGGTCAAAGGTAGTCAGCATCCTTTGGATATTTTCTTTAGGAATGCAGGTGAGTTGGGACATGAAAAAGATAGATATACTAGCTGGTTCCACTACCACTCGGTGGTAAACTAGATGTTGTTGAGGCCCTGTGGGAGTGAGTGAAGAGGCACAATCACATTATCATGGTCTGAAGAGAATGGTGCAACAGAGAGTGACCAGGGGATCTGGCCGACACTCCACACTCAGAGGAAAGGTTGATTGACATACACTCAGATTGCTACTTGTACCATCAAACTGGAACTCTCTGCTGGCTGCTGAAGATGGAGATGGAGCACTTAAGGGAATGTCCTGACTGCTGTGATATCAGTCAGTTCTTGAAAACATTACTGCCTAAATAAAAAAAATTTTTAGAGTGATGTAGGACAGAAGGGTTTTGAGTCTGAGGATTTAGGGTCACATGGCTAGAGGTGATCATGAACAGCAAAGTTTAGGGTTTTATTTTTACCCCAGACAGAAAACAATCCATCACCTTAATGAGAATTTGATCCAAGGTCTTCCAAATAAGAGCCAAACATTCTTACTTCTTGTGCAGACGTTTTTCATCTTATGCTCATAACATTTTTTTTTAAACTTCCCTCTATGTGTGCTGGGGCCCCATTTTTTTTTTGGGGGGGGGGGGGAGATAAGATTCACTGCCCCCTAACCAGCATGTCGTAAAAGTCAACTAATAATTGGGTGTTTCCTTTGAAGTCAAGAGTGCATCTGCCTGAGAGGCAAGGAAAAACACTCTGCATACAAATAAACAGGATCTGTAATCCAGATGTGAACACAAAGCTCAAGTTCAGGAACAAGTGTTTAGTCCAAAAGTAGACCAGTTTACAGCTGGTGAACGTGTGAACGTAAAGAAGAAGAAGAAAGGTAACATAACTTTTCAAAAACATACCTACGCGATCCAGTAATGTGAAAGCTGTAAGCCAAACTTCAGGAATAGCAGCAGCTTCGATGAAAGTTAAATTGTCAGGTATCGGCATGACCTGTTCATAACGACAAGTCACATACTCTGCATTGCCACCACCTGCAAAAGTTAATTAATATGCCATTGAACAAGTGACAATAAAAGAGAAAGAATTAAATCTCAAACACAGAAAGCCATCATCTGAACATTCTGTTGTGCCCTTATACATCACATAGGACTTACAGTATTTTCTTTCATTCTGTTCTATCATGTGTAGTTGTTTCAATATCTTGGATGGAACCCAGTCCACCTTGGGCCTCTCTCATCAACTTTCAATTTGTGGTTTCTTTTAAACATCCTCATTTCCATAATTCATTTGTTTCTCATTTAAGTGCCTGTTTAGTAACTGTCTTTTTGCTTTACCTCAGAATGTGCCCAAAATAGTAAACAGTTGTATTTATATCCAAACAGGGAAGAGAACAAACCAGAGTAAACATCCACAAGACACCATCAACAGACTCAACAGAAAAAAATATACAACAATTTTCTTACTAAGAACAGGACACTGCAGGCTCAACTACCACAAGAATAAAATAAAGACTGTACAGTCCCCACAGTGTGTATATCAGACGGGACCACAAACACCTGACACATTCTACAGGTCTGCCTACTAGAGTTACAGATAGGAAGAGAAACCTGGCCTCAAGAGAAAAGCGCAGGCAAACTATGGGGAACCAAGAAGGACCTGCAACTGACATAGGCATTCACAGAGGCAGACCACTTGACAATCTAGCCTGAGCATACAAAACCAAACGCAAAGAAGAAGATACTGAAATTAAACATTTGAACAAGCTTAAATTTTTTTTTTTTAATTACAAAACTGTCAAAGAGCCTTCCTAAAATCACCTTCAATGACATGCAAAGCAGATTATGATGATACTGTTCTTTGCTTTGGGGTTCTCCATAGCTATGTAGTTGAGCTGTTTGCCTTGTGCTCTGTACATCTTGGGTTTGTTTCACCAAGTACATCATTGGCTCACAGGGTGCAATTTTTACTGAGATCCCTGAAGATTGTCACTTGAGCTACAAAATCTGTGCTCGGTGCAACATTCTTGTCAGGCAGATAACATTTTGTGGAGACAGATCAAGCCATATGGGATCAAATCTTCTGCTATAACATCAATTCTATCAATCTGAACTATTTATTAAAACTTTTTTAATGCTTTTTTTTATAGGCCCAGTTAACAAGAGGAAAAAATTGATTGGTTTACAGTTACATGAGAGTTGAAAAAAAAAATAATAACACAGCTGGTCTAACACAGTTACAAATAAGACCACAAAATAAACAGTGCAGCTCTGTGGCTTTGAGGTTAGTGAGCATTTTTAACAATCTTCATTGTACCAGGGTTCATTTTCCACAATAAGCAGTTTCAAAAAAAGAAGATAATTCTCAATTCTTTCAGCCAGCAGTAAGAGTCATGTGTACAAAAGTATAAAGCCTCAAATCCACAAGACTGTCATTACTGCCTGATTGTACATTTTTCTTTAGGGTGGTGTAGAACAGAGGGGTCTTGAGTCTGAAGATTTAAGGCTGCAAGGCTAGTGATGTTGCCACAAACTGTTCAAGTTGGGATGTTTATTTTTGTTCCTGTCGGAAGAGCCATCATCACCTTAAAGAGGATCAAAACCAGGTCTTTTGCATAAGAGCCCAGCATTCTAACCATTCTGTTAGTTGATCCTCAACAAATGATATTTCCTTCCTCCCTCCCTCCCTCCGAAACACCCACCCACCCTCGCCTGCCCACTCACAAGCACGCACGCACATGCACACAAATGTGAATACACATATCCACAACAGCTTAACCCCATTGTGGAGACAGTACAATTGTTTAAAGCAGAAAGATAGATTAAATGTTATTATTTTCAATAATAAATGATAGCATAGAATGGCCAAACCTGCAAGCAGTGCACACACTTTCTGACCAACTGTAACGTTTTCTGGACAGCCTGGTCCCACTTTATCAATGACGCCTGCTGCTTCAAGTCCTAATACATTGGTGACACCTGGTGGTGGATCATACATTCCCTTTCTCTGTGAGGAAGAACATAAACATTTTTTTTTAAAGTAAACATTCAGTTTCAACAAGTATGGTTACACATTGGATAAGAGGAAGTTAGATTTCAAATATATATGCTGTTTTTAAAACAGAGAGAGAGAGAGAGACAGACAGACAGACAGACAGACAGACAGACAGACAGACAGACAGACAGACAGACAGACAGACAGACAGACAGACAGACAGACAGACAGACAGACAGACAGGAGAGAGAGAACTCTAAGGTAGTCATAACCACATTTCCTCTTAGTCTCAGCTGCTATTTTTAGTGTATATAAACATATGTGGTTCCTCTAAATACCACACAATTTTTCAGTTGCAAGCCCAATGGAAAATGATAATTAATCTCCTGGGGATTGGCTAATGATAAAAAAAAGTGAAACAGCAATTTCTCTGGGTTTTTTAATAGAGCACTATTTGCTGGAGTGTAGAAAATATGAAAATAAAAGGAAACCAGTAACTGACTATGCAAAACTCTGTTAACTACCTATGATGATGGAAAACTTGCTGCACATAAACAGCCCCAGAGAGCTGCATACCAAGGCCAAGAAATTTATTACTAGGAAGGGTAAAAAATGACCATGGATGGCATCTCTGAAGAAGTTTTCCCTAAAGATAAAACAGGAGAATAACCAATGATTGCACACTAAGGAAACAATATATCCACCAGTTTAATGACACAATGTTAGTCAGATTGACTAATTATTCCTAGTACAATTTTTATCATAATCACAACCCAGATCAAAGCAAAATGTGAAACAATACAAATTACATTTTGGTCATATTAAAAAATTACAATACATACATATATTCAACATAACAAATATATACTCTGAGAACTCAATTAACACTATATATCCCAATAATAACCCTGACTTTTGAACAGGATATTTCCGAAAAATTACTATTACTTACTACTACCTGTGATTTTTGGAAAAGATTCAAAAACAGATATTTCAAGCTGACAAGATTAAAGACAAGCAATAAACTAGACAAGCATAAACAAGGTGTAGTGCCATAAGACAGGACAACATATTTTTAAAAAAAATCAAACATCTTCTTTATCTTTCTCATTTGTCGTTTAAAAAAAAACAACCTTTTTCTTCTTAAGGATTCTGCAATTAGGGTTCTTTGCTACAGTGATCACCCACCCTCCTTCATGTCAGTGATTAGTGATCTTTCTACCTTTAGTGACCCCAAGTGTTTGTAGGTCTGCCTGTATAATATCTCTCTACAATCTTCTTGGTCTGCCTTGTGGTCTACACCTGTTGAATTCTTTCCTGCTGCCAGTTTTTGTTGCTGTTATCTGTTATTATCTCTATATGGCCCAATCATCCTATGATGCCAGTAATTCGAGGTTCTATATGGCCCAATCATCCTATGATGCCAGTAATTCAAGGTAATTCAAACAGATTATGAATTTCATTGCTGCTTCTCACTCTCCATTCTCTTCTGTCTGCATCTACAATGGGTTCAAAGATTTGACATAACACTGTGTTTCTCACCAAAGCAAAATATGTATACATGTATTTTTGTACAAATGTCCAACTTCAGCTCTGGGGTTTTGAAGACCTGACTTCATCTCTGAGGTTTTTAGGACCTGACTTTATCTCTGGGGTTTAGAGGACTTGACTTCAGCTCTAGACTTTTAAGGACCTCACTTCAGCTCTAGATTTTTAAGGACCTCACTTCAGCTCTGGAGTTTTGAGGACCTCACTTCAGCTCTGGATTTTTAAGGACCTCACTTCAGCTCTGGAGTTTTGAGGACCTCACTTCAGCTCTGGGTTTCCGAGAACCTGACTTCAGCTCTGGAGTTTTGAGGCACACGACTTCAGTAACAAAAACATTATCACTGACTAATTTCACAAACTGTTACCTGTATAGTATCTGCTCTATTTATTGCAGATGCAAACACTTTGATTCGAACTTCCTTTTCGTTGGGTTCAGGCAAAGGCACCTCTGCAAGAAATAGTTGATCTGGACCTCCTGGTGTGAACTGTACTGCCTGCATTTTCATCAATGTAATTCTGGATTGTGATCTTCCTGCAACAAGAATCATTTTTTTAAAGTGTGATACTAGCTGGGAGAGGTGCAGTGGATAGTGCACTAGCTAGCATTCCAGTCTGCTGGCTTGGTAGTCATTAGTTCAAATCCCCAATGATGCATATTTTAAAAATTGACTGGTGCCGGTACTGCCCACAAAGTGTCTATTATTACAGCAGTGCTGAAATAAAATTATGCCTAAAAAATAGTGCTGGCACTGTACCCCATTGCTACAACCAGAAAAAAAAAACATCGCCTGTACTTAAGAGTAATACTATTTTGGATTGTTGAGTAATTCGAAAAAAAAAATGTATAATAAAAGCTACAATAACTGTGACTGTGAATATTTAGTACTTGCTTTGTATATCTAATGCTGAAGTAGGGGACAGCTTCCTCTGGTGACTAACCTGGCGTATATGATAGAGCTTAAATTGTATTCCTATTCCTGACAGGTGTGTAATGGTCCAAAACGCACTCTAAAAGTCACTGTGACTAAGCACAAAAAGACTCAAGAGCCATTGGCCCATATCGAAAATCCATGGCAGGGCACTCTACAAATTAAAATTTAATTAATCCTTGGTATTAGTTTTGTGTATTTTTTAAATGGTGAATAAATAAATAAAAAAGGAATAGCTTAGTCACTTACTGAAGTTCCTCTCTAGGTTACTACTGACAACGATTCTATTGTCTGTTCCAGTGTAAAAACACCTTGAAACTTCACACAAATATTTTTCAAATATATACCTGGACTTCACATAAGAAAAGCAACGCCGAGCACACATACCGTGACACCAAGTATTAATTCAGTGGGAGATGTGGTTTTCTAGTAGCCTTTAACCTCTCGGGGCCAAAGTTCATGAAGTGGGTGTGCAGTTTTTGACTGTCGGATACTGCCGTATCATTAATTATATGAACTGACATTTCTTCTTCTTTTTCTTCTTTTCCCTCTTCTTTTTCGCTTTCACAAGCTGTAAACTCCGGCAGACAGTTATAGTTGTTCGTCCCCTTTTAAACTGTAATCTTGTTCCGTTTGTACTGATCTGATTCATTTGTGTTCAGACTGTTGGTTCCTTGCCTCTCAGGCCGAACTATGACTCCGTCGGCGTCTGGGGTTTAGGCGTTGCGAACGCGGCTAAAAATTCCAGAATATCTTTTTTCATTCCAGTTGCATGCGATGGTATGTAGCGCCCATTTTTTTTTTTTTTTTGGCAAGCGTCCCCTCCCCCTGGAAAAAAAATTATAATCATCAACAGGTACCGCGCCGATAAGCACATGCAGTAATGATTCTCCATCTTAAACGCTCAGCGGTATCATGGATTAGGTGAGCGCTCTTGTCCAGCCCCAGACTGTTGAATAGAGGCATTCTGACTAGTGATGGCGGTGATAATGAAATGGATTTTTAAACATTTTTTAAATATCCAGAAACCATGAGTTGTTAACTCTTTGGCTCGGTACTATGGATATCGCAACCCTTTGACCTTGATTGCATGATAGATACTGTAAATCTGGGAGAAATTTGGCTTTTCTGCCTACCCCTAGGCGTGAACCCAGACCACAAGCAGTTCGTCACCCGGTCGCCACGCAGTCAGGTTTAGCCAACTGTGCTAGCGAGCCAGGCTCGATCGACTGGATAGAGAAACGTGCTGCGATTCTCAAAAGATGGATTCTTTGCAAAGCTTGGTCGTAATGTGTAGACATCATTCGGAAGCCAGGGTATGGCTCTTTTTGCCAGACCACCTTTTTTTCTTTTTGTCTAATTTGCCGTTTGTCATCAAATTCTCGTATCTGTCCATTTTCTTAAAAAATACCTTCTACTATCAAAGAAACAGAAAAATGCTATGACAAATTTGCTCCCCCCCCCCCCCCCCCCTCCACCCCTTTTTCTCTTATGTCCCATCTCTCATCTTACGTTTTACAACAGCTGATCTAGAGCTGCGAGAGATGTTGTTCTTACCCCAGTCGAGCGTTTTCCATTATGACAGACCTGCCATGGTAAGGAGCGACGTTATCATTGCTATATGAAATGTATATCATGAAGATAATCAACATGGGTCAGAAACAGGATGGTGGGTTTGGGATCTTCTACCACGTCCCATGTGTAATCTTGCATCGTCTTTGTCTTTCCTATGGGCCAGAAATCTGCTTGACAGGAACAGTCCGGGTAATCTTTAAGTCATACTGAGTAGTTTTCCTTTCTGCACCTAAACCATATGGAACAGTGAGTGACATTTCATTTGATTTTCACTGGCACAAGTTGTCCCCTTGTGGGATTAAATTTTTTTTTTTTTTTTTTTTTTGGGTTATTTGAAGCTCCGCCTTGGCTTTTGCCGGGGCTCCTGAATATAGCCGGGCCATAATTACTGTCCAACTGCTGAAAGGGGTTTCTGGGACCGTTCTAAGGGTGATCCTCATCCGCATGGTGGTACTGTGTGTCACCGGGTGTTTATCGCTCGTGCACTGACCTGATGGGGTACAACAAGAGAGAGTGAGAGAGAGAGAGAGAAAGAGAGAGAGAGAGAAAGAAAGAGAGAGAGAGAAGAAATGAGGGAGCATGGGGTGACCTGACTGTAGTGAATTTCAAACCTCGACTAAGACTAACCCGTATGTGGCTGTCAGCGATACCCATATGGTAGAGATGTGCTCTGATTTACTGTGCCTTTTTTAGTGACTGAAAATTCGAATCTACGTGTTTCTACTACCAAGCGGTGTAGTACTGTCTGGCGTATACTGTTTCTTTTATTTTCCCCAGTTTAACTTCACAGACTGTTTTAAGAGTGTCTTTGACACTCTCTATTTTTGAGACTGTTCTATTCTTGTGGACATCGTGGAAGCAAAGGTTCAACAGCCGATCGAGGACAACTCTAGGCCAGGAGATATGACTATATACACTGATGATTCAGTGGCCGGGGCGCAGAAAAAGTGCACGGGACTTTGTCGCAAAAGCTTGGGGGAGAAGGATGATGGAGGACTAAAACTAAGACTAAACCCTATGTGGCGGAGTCAGCCATACCCATATGATAGAGGTGTGCTCTGGAGTTTACTGTGAGTAGTATATACGTTAATTTCTTGGTGAAAATGATTTAATAATTACCATTGTCGAGCGTATAGTTAACCCTTTTACTCCGGTTACCTAAAAAAGAAGGGATTGGGTTAAACTGGTTTACTTCGAATGTGCTGTTTTCAGCTCAAAATATTAGTGGGATGTCTCCTTTTTCAGCTCAAGATATTACGGAAACCCAAAGCAGAAAAAAGAGAGCATCCATATCTGGAGAGGCTGATTGAGCCGAGAGTAAACAGTGGGTCTGGACGTCTTTCTATAGGTGAGGTTTTTTTTTTTGGGGGGGGGGGGGGGGGGGGGATAACAGGGGTAAACTCAACCATGTTACAGTTGGTACTATAGTATGGGGGACCTTCATTGACTATTGAGGTAGGGGACGGAGCAAGTATGGGAATGTCACGAGTGCGGTGATGTCATTTCTTGATTCATGTTTGATGCTTACTGAGTATGATCATATTAAACTCCAATAGCCTCCTTCACAAAATCGCAATAAGTAGCCTGTGGTCGTAATGTGGAGACAGCATTCGCAAGTTACACTTCGTTCTCACTGTTGGAGGATGGGACATATCATCACTAAGTCACTGTATACACTTGGGCATGTCGAAGTAAAAGTAATGAACGATCAGACCAGCTGGCAAGTATTGCACACTGCATACAGGAAGATACATGGCTAGAGAAAATGTTGTCCATGCTATACGGGTGTGACAGGCAGATAGCAATGAATCTAACGACTGTGTGAACTTCGAGTGAAGCCTGGTGAAGCACGTCGAGGAAAAGATAGGATACGCCAGTGTGGGGTTTTCCTAGGGAAAAAAAAGGTACCAGTACTCAAAGCGTCTAAACAAATGTGCCATACTCACTACAGTTTGTTTGTTTCGAGTGTACTAAAAAAAATGTTTTTGCCTTAAAAAAGGTTCTGGTATTGCAAACAGGCTATAAGAATTAACAACTGTTTAGGTACATTTCAAAGCATAAAGAGGGGCGTACGACAAGGATGTGTACTGTTACCTGATTTGTTTTCAATATACAGTGAATACATAATGATATCTTTAATTGGTATGCCCGCAATTATGGTTGGTGGGCACAATATAAACAATTTACGTTATGCTGATGACACAGTCTTGATAGCAACAAGTCAGAAAGAACTACAGGAAATGATAGACATTGTGGTGTTAGAAAGTGGAAGATTGGGCCTCAGTTTGAATAATGGGAAGACAGAAGTAATGGTGGTATCAAAGAAACGAATTATTCCCAAGTGTGTAATTAAAGTTGATGGTGTTATTTTAGGACAAGTACAGAAATTTAGGTATCTGGGCACATGGATAACATCAGATGGAAGATGCATAACTGAGATAAGAAACAGAATAGGACTGGCAAAAACTGCATTTTATAAAATTAAAAACATCTTGTGCAATATATCCTTGTCATTGAGAGTTAGAAAAGGAATTCTTGCTTGCTACATACATCCAGTTTTAACATATGGCTGTGAATCCTGGACATTCGGTAGGCAGGCCAAACAATTTCTGGAGGACTCGGAGATGTGGTTCTACAGAAGAATGCTTATTATACTTTGGACAGCCAAAAAGAGCAACCAAGAGGTTTTGAAAGAGGCGGGAGCCCGAAGATTACTTATCACAGACATCAGAAGGAGACATCATTTTTCGGCCATGTTATGAGAAGAGGAAAAATAGAACATGTTGTGACCACTGGAAAGATATGTGGAAGGAGAGATAGAGGAAGACAACGAGAGAAGATGCTTGACAGTCTTGTTGCATGGCATAGAGGTGTGTCGGCACACGAGCTGATACATGCTGCAGGAGATCGCAGATTATGGAGAGGCATGATCGCCCACGCCAGTCGGCAAGGCACCTGATGATGATAATTGCAAACAGTTGTGCACCGCTAGACAAAAACCCTGGGAGACATTTAACCACCTTATCACGGGAACAGTCAGTAGGGATACCTAATTGTGGCTGCTGCATTGGAAGACTGAGCACTCAGTGGAATTCCCAGTGTGCAGTGACGTCGATTGTTTTAATAACATAAAATGTATTATGCTTGGCAAAAATGGTGAAACTATGGGGGTGACTGCAGTCAAGCTAATACAATGAATTCCATAGAAATTTGACTAAAAAGCTCAACAAAATGGGAAAGAGGAAAACGTGCTCACGTCACCCCTTAGAGATCTACATACTCTCCATTCCTCGTTTGTGTCTTTCACTTGTGTTTGAAAAAGGCTGCCCGGCCGAAACGTTTCGTTACGTTGTGTTGTTTTGTGCACGTTTTCCTCTTTCCCATTTTGTTGAGCTTTTTAGTCAAATTTCTATGGAATTTATGCTTGGCAAGCAATATTTACCACCAGGGCGTAAAGATTCACGTCTCCGTGGTAATAGACAAATGAGAAATCCTTTTCAAGCTGTAGTAATAAATATTTAGACTATAAAGAAACAAATAAGTAATTGTATAAACTAGACATTTTAGAACCTCATGTATTATTTATCGAGCTAATAATATAAGCTAAGTTAAAACATTTGTGAGACAAATAAAAATGTGTACATGTTACATGTTGAAAAAATTATTTAAACAAAATATTGCTCTTTTAGAATGATGGCGTCCTTAGCGACCAGCGAAGTTTGGGATGTAAACATTGCAAGAAATTGAAGAATAAAGCCGCCTCTCACATTCATTTTGATTTAGATTTGGCTAGCGTCTTTACCTGACATTGAGAACTGTGTGGTTAAGAAACTAATTTAAATTAAAGCTAGTAAGTAATCATAAAGTGTGTGCAATTCAATTAGTTTGTAGTGTTTCGATTTATTTAAATTTAATTTAGTAGTAGTAGTAGTAGTAGCAATTTCTAACCACCTGTGAAATGAGATGTTTGAGAATGGCTGCGAATAAAACCAGAAGAGATCGAGTGAGAAACGATTACACTTACATTATTACAATTATTATGTAACATAATTATACATTTTATGTATTGAAATATTGTTAAACATCTCAAATCAAATAATTGAGTTATGATAACCGTTATGTAGCCCCCCTCCCCCCTGTTAACTTATCGATGTCAATAATTTGTGCAATAAGTAAGTAATAATATTTAATAAATTTAGGGCTATCGTCCGAATAACGGTCCCAAATTATCGATCCCGAAAATATACCCTAACAAGGCGAACTTCCGGCGACTACTGCCACTGCCAAGAGTATCTCCCACGCTGCTACGCGTGACGTGGAGCGGGGCTAAACTAGATGACTGGGACTCACAAGCAGCAGCTACCACATCTCCTGCAGCTTCCTTCATTTTATATGCTCGTGAGTCTCAGCCATCTAGTTTAGCCCCGTTCCACGCGCCTAGTGGCGTGGGAGATACTTTTGGCGGTAGTCGCTGAAAGTCCGCAATTGACATGTGACTGAGGCCCTGTTAGGGTATATTTTTGGCCTCGATAATTTGGGACCGTTATTCGGAGGATAGCCAAATTTCACAATGGGCTTACCTTCGAACTTCGTCCCCATATTATGGTAGTCAAACAAATACCCTAACAGGGCCTCAGTCGTGTGTAAAATACAGAGTGCCTGCTGAGGAGCAAAGTGCGGCTAAACTAGGATCGCCTCCGAATAACGGGACAAAATTATCGAGGGCAAACAAATACTCTAACAGGGTCTCAGCGATATGTTAACTGGGGACTTGTTTCTGCGACTATGCTGCACCGACCGACAGTATCCCCCGTGCTGCTACACGCGACACGAATTGGGGGCTAAACTCGATGGCTGGGACTCACAAACAAATAAATTTGAGGAATTTTCAGGAGATGCGGTAGCTGCTGCTCGTGAGTCCCAGCTAATCGGATGAACACAATTGCTAACCTGCGCTGGAGCGCGAGGCCTCCCTGCCATGTCGCTTTTATCGTGTGTATTGTTGCGTTTGTCGAGAGTGTCAACAGACAGTAATCCTAGTTTTGCCACAATGTGTTCGTCTGAGGAAGTCCTCATTTTGCATATGACTGAGGGTATTTGTTTGGCCACCGTAATATGGGGATGAAGTCTGAAGGAGAGCCCGATAGTGTAATATTAAAGTAACGTACTAATGTAGTGTAAATGTAATTTATGTTTCACGGACGTCATTGATCTCATGGCTGGTTCCAAAAGCAGAACTCTAATAATTTACTACAAAACTAGATAGTCTGTAGTAAACATGACTTGGAAATTAATGCCGCAAAAAGCAAAATACTGGTATTATTAATAAATTTGAACAAAATAAGCAGAAGGAAGTCTCCCATCAGTAGCACACAAAACGTGAACACTGTATTGGTAAGCAAGTGCTACAACTACTTAGCTACTATAGTTCCTATTGCTTTTAGAATCATTATTCAGTAGTCCAAGCCCTTGACAAAGTTTACTGCAAATTCCATCTACCTCTGTTCATTACTGTTGTTATTGTTATTATCGTGTTCTAAGAAAATAAATCTGTCACATTTTGTTTCAGAATATTTTACAACTATGGCTGATTGTGAGACCAGCAAGGACTATGATGCCCCGTCTCCTTCTCTACCTGATAAACAGTCCCTGAAGATTGCCAGTTTGCCCACAGGAAATGATAACGCTGAAACAGTATTTGCATATGATAATGACCAACCCTGTGACAGATTTAACCATCTCCTCTTTCCAAACATAGTCCTGCAACAAACCAACACTGAAGGTTCATGCTTCATAAATATGTTTGGTCTAGTAACTGAGAGATGTGTAACATTTTGTATTGACACATCAGGCAGTATGTTTAATGCTTTAGATGTGGTGAAGATGCAACTTATGGAAACCCTTTCACATCTGGCAAGCAGGGAAGTTAAAGTTATGTTTAATTTAATAGAATTCAATTCCCAGGTAACACAGTGGGCTGATAAGTTGGTTCAGTGTACTCCAGAAACTGTCGCTGTGGCTAGACAGTGGGTGAGTAATTTAAAGGCAAAGACGGGTACCAACACACAAGGTGCTCTGTTTGCAGCTCTGGCCGATCCAGCTTGCCAGGCTGTTTATCTTGTCACAGATGATATCCCTGACCAATATACAGAGGATGTTCTTGACAACATTATAGCAATATGTGGTAACCGTCGTATACACTGTATCTACATTACTGGTGATGAAGCTGATGAGGCAGCAACGGAGTTCTTGGAGGATCTTGCTGTTGAAACTTTTGGTTCATTCACTATTGTAAAACTGCTCAGTAATGGCAGCATAGAGAAGGTTATACCAGTCTACCGGTCAGATCCATCACATGAAAAGCTTGTATGGACAGTGAACAATACCCTACGACCGAATGTTAGAACATGCAGTGTCTCAACAACACTACAGCTTGATCCAGATGAAGTACTAGGCATTCATCCACTTGATAGTTCACTGATGTTTAACACAAACCCAGTTGCTGTGCCTTCTCCGTTAGTGAGTACTTATGCTGATCGCTACTACTACCCATACTGCTGGTCTAGGTATAATCAATCTAGAGGCTGGTTAAAGGCACAGGATAAACTTAGGCAGCCATTACTTGGCCTGTCTCATGTAGCTGGAAGTTTACTAGTTGGAAAGAAGGTCATTGCTCGCAGGCTGGAGGATGGCTATTTCTACAGGGGCACTATTCAAAGTCAGGTAAGCTATGTGGTTTGGTTTCTTTGACAGTTTATCATTTGTTTAGGATGCTCATTTCAAATCTCATTCACAAGTATTCTCCGACGTTGTAGTGCATCTGCCTGAGTGGCAAGGAACTAACAGTGTGCATACAAGTAAGACAGATCTGTAAAACTGATGTGCGTGGACAATTCAAGTTCTGGGGCAAGACTGCAGTCCAGAACAACCAGAACTTTGCACTGCAGTTTACAGCTGATGAATGCTAAGAAGAAGAAGATGACAATTCACAAGTGTTATAAAGTGTATCTTGTTCTTCTTCTGAAAACATCAAACATGAGAAGGGAACAATCATCATTTATTGGTCATGTTATGAGAAGACGGGAAAGAAGAACATGTTTGATGACTAGAAAGATTTGTAAAAAGGAAGATAGAGTAAGACAATGCAAAAACATTCTTGACAACTTTTTGTCATTGCGTGGAGGAGTGTCAGCACATGAACTGGTAAATTCTCTTGGAAATTACAACTTGTGGAAAGGCATGATAGATCAAATCAGTTGGCAAGGCACTTGATAAGGATTCTTCTTCTTCTTCTAGTTTTAAAATAACATTTGTATACCAGCAGGGAATTATAATTCATGTATTTTCATAGTCAAATTATTTGCTGATTATTCTTCTTAATGTTTGAGACATTAGTTAATCCACAGCCTTTTGTTACTGTAATTCCAGATGGTTTTTTTATACAGATGTCCAATCATGCCTGGATGCCAGTCTAAATAACATGTACTCACTTTTTCATCCTTTGCATCTCTTTCCTGCAACTTTCCTAGTGTGATAACATACTCCAGTTGTCTGTCCCCTTTTCATGACATTTCCTATTAAGTTTGGACTGTCACCTTCTGACATGGTATTCTGTTTTTTTTTTCATGAGTTTATTTTCTAATTATGCTTTTTATTTGTCCGTTCTATGGTGTTCTCATCATTCAACACCACATATCCGCAACATCCACATAATTTCTCCCTAATCTGCTGCTGTCCATGGTTCCTCTTATATATTCATTGTGCCTAAGTTAGGTGTTCATTTTCAAGCTTTTCACTGTTTACTTCTGTCATCAATATTTGCAAGTTTGTCCATGGCATAGGTTGTTCTTTCTTTATTGTAATCGGTTCTGAATTGAGTAGTGCTTGGCTGAACCGTTAGAATGATGGGATGTCATTAGGGTGACCATAATATCTGTACTGAAAATTAGACATCCCAATAATATTTTGAGCTTAAAACAAAAAATTCCACTAAAATTTTGAGCTGAAAACTGGACGTCCAAATCAAAGTTGTTTAAACCCCCTTACTTGCCACCACTGGTCATTTTTTAAAATAAACCCTAAAATAAGACCACGGGAACCAACTTAGGGAACTAAGTATTCAAATTTGTATTTATACTGTAGGTCAGGATTCTTCAGCCAGTTGGCCCACAGGTCACAAAGGCCAAGCAAGTGGCCCAAGAATATTTGCCAGTTGTATTGTATTAATGATCTTTCTATGCTGGTGTCTAGTTGTCTGGCCCATTATGATCCCCATTTTCTACACTGATGCCTAGTTGTCTGGCCCGTAATGATCCCCATTTTCTACACTGATGCCTAGTTGTCTGGCCTGTAACAATCCCCATTTTCTACGCTGATGCCTAGTTGTCTGGCCCATAACGATCCCCATTTTCTACCATGATGCCTAGTTGTCTGGCCTGTAACGATCCCCATTTTCTACACTGATGCCTAGTTGTCTGGCCCTTAACGATCCCCATTTTCTACCATGATGCCTAGTTGTCTGGCCGATGACGATCCCCATTTTCTTTCTATGCTGGTACCTAGTTGTCTGGCCCGTGACGATTCCCATTTTCTACACTGATGTCTAGTTGTGTGGCCCATGACCATCCCCATTTTCTATGCTGATGCTAAGTTGTCTGGCCCATGACGACCCCCTTTTCAATGCTGATGTCTAGTTGTCTGGCTGACGATCCCCATTTTCAACATTCTGGCCTCTGAGTAAACTTCTCTGACCAACCCAGCTATAGATGGTCTCCATGGCGAAGTGGCCAAGCAGTTTTTCTTATGCTCTGAAGGTTGTGTTTAATTCATGGACACATTGTTCAGTTCAAGAGTGCTATTTTTACGGAGATCCGGGGGATCATTACTTGAGCTACAGAGTTTGTGCTTTGTGTAATACTCTCAGCAGGTCAAGTTGAGGTCAAGAGGATCGACTTTATTGCACCAGACTTTATCTTTTATAGCTCAATCTCTCTCTGCAGAATGGCTAGCTGTCTGTCAAGAGCATCACACGCAGTACGGACTCTGCAGCTCTAGCAACAATCCTCAAGGATTTCAGTAAAAATTGCACTCATTGAACCGATCGACGCAGCCATGAAATGAACTTACAGCCTTCACAGCGTGAGGCAAAGGGCTTGACCACTTCGCCATGAAGATCCCTCGGCATGTGGCTGGGCATTCTGTGTATGGAGAGAGACTAAGTCATATGGGATAACCGGGTGCAACTAAGATGATTCACTCAGTTTGAATTTTCACATTATCTGTAGTTATTTCTGTGTTTCCTTTCAGAACTTTGGTAAAAGTTTCCTTGTTGCATTTGGACCCAGAAAGCATAGCAGATTCAATCAGACTGAATATGAGGATGTTTTCGTATTTGATATAGTGGATTACAGTGATGCCCTGCGGCACAGTATAATCACGGGTGACAGAGTATTGGCCCCTGAACAACCTGATGGAGAGAGGTTTGCACCTGCAATTGTTATTGATGGGCAAGAAAAGCGACAAGCAGATGGTATTTTCCTTGTTCATTTTTTTTTTTCATTTTTCATTCTCTCCTTTTCAAGTTTTTGGTTTGTGTTTATTGGTCTTTTTTTTAATTATTATTTTTATTTTATTAACATGGGAAAGAAATTGAAATACAGCCAATATTTTGTTTACATTATTGGATTATACAGGTCAGAACTCTGGTATAAAATTCTAGAAAAAACTGTACATAAAATCTCTGTGTGGGTTCCATGGGCCGATTTAGGGTGAAAAGAGAATAGTTCCAATGCTCCTCAAACAAGCATGTCCTAAAAGGTGACTAATTAGAAGTTTGCAGAAATTGGATGTCTTCAGCTGAGAGGCGCAGATATTGCAGCCTCACAATAAACTACAACACAACATGCCTGCTGCCTTTTTATGGGTGAATGCAAAAGTAGAAGAAGATATGTAATTAATAATAATATATCTTTTTTTTTAAATAAAACATTTTTAGGCATAATAGTAATAGATTGGTAGCTCCTCACAAGGTGTGATTTTCTTAAATCCTTGAGCTCCTATCTAGTTCTTACATTATCTCACTCTATTGCAACTCCTATTTTTATCTCTTTCTGACTAGCATAATTATTTTTTTAACCCTTCTGTACCCGATACATATTAGTTTCATTTGCTACAGAAACTTACAGAGAAGGATGTTATTCTGGTAAGTAAATGAGTCAAATGGTGTGTATATGTATGTATATATGAGTGTATGTATGACAGTTAGTTATTTGTGTGGATAAAAACTTGGATAAAAGATAAATGCATTTGAAAACAAATGTCTGAGGAAAAGGATAAACATAAGATGGGACAATTTTCAAAAGGAGTTAAGAAACAACAGAAATGTCTGGGCAACCACGGGTCTCAACAGTTATAAGACAGAGAAGATGGTGCCGCTTTATTTGACACATTCTGAGAAGGGAAGAACAGGGAATCACCAGACAGGCACTGAAATAGGAAGTAGAGGCATGAAGGAAACAAGGACCTCCAAGAGAAACCTTAAGACAAATGTTGACGAGAGAAACCAAAGTTGCTGAACTAGATTTCATCCCTGATATCAGAGTGCTTGCACAGGATAAAACGTAATAGGGAAATAGACTGGGAGCCCTATGTGACATGTAATGGCACAACTGGAGATGAATAAATGAATGTATTAGTTTCATGGATCCCTGTGTGGGTTCTGGCGCCCCATTATGGGGAAAACAAGAATAGACCCACTGCCTACCCAGAAGCATGACGTAAGAGTCGACTAATTGGGGGCTTCCTTCGATGTCAGAGTTTATCTGCCTGAAAGGCAAGGAACAAACAATCTGCATACAATTAAGTCAGATCTGTTAAATGGATGTGCTCACAACACTCAGGTTCGGGAACAAAACCAAAATTCAAAGGAGGACAAACAACCAGGACTCTCCACCGGAGTTTACAGTCGGTAAACATGAAAAAGAAAAAGAAGTTTCATGGATAAAATATTATCAAGCAGCAACTGTCCAAGATTGAAAGAGTTAAGTTAATGGGAATTGTTTCTTGTTTGATTAAATTCACTTTATCTGAATTTGAAGTGTTTTATTACCATTTGAACTTGTTTTTCCTATGAAGGTCCAGAAGATAAAGATTTGACAGTTTGTTTTAGCAGTGGTAAAACTGAGAATATTCCACGAGATGTTGCAGTGTGGATTCCACCAACAATGTACGACAGATTATCATTGGAGCTACAGATGTCAGCCTCATCCAGGAAATCTATATTTTCTACATTAAAAAAATATCCAGCTGAGCATTTGCCAGGTAAAATTTTTTTCTTCTTGTTCTTCTTCAGCACTGCGAGCCCATGAGGTTTACTGCTGTGGATATCAGTTGTTTTTGTTCATCTCTGTGATTGGTCTTCTCTTTCCACTTGATGACTCCAAGTGACTCTATATAAACATATGTCATCAGTTAAACTTTCTCAAGAGCACTTTTGAAGAATTCATGTTCACCCTCAGCTCCATGCTGCATATTTACTGGGGAAACCTTTACTGGCTAAACAAAATGGCGCGTTACTTGTCAAGTGCTGATCAAGCGGTGTTATAATTTTACCAGATCATAGATGAATGGTACCTGTTTGGATTACATGCTTTGCCTCATGGACTGTGTTTTTGCTTGGCCACAATAAAATCAGTATCAATAGTTAATTATCAGACTGTGTATATACTGCACAATTCTGAAACAGTAATAACATTATTATTTCTATAAAGTTTGTATGTTTTTGAATAATGTATAATTTAATATTCAAATTATGTATATTTAGTAATATTCAAATTATTAATCTTTTCAAACTCGTATTTTATTTCAGGCTACCCAAAATTAGAATACCCAGGAGATTACTTCATAGCTGATCCCTTTGTTGTAAAGCCAAACCCGTATCTCTGGGATCCCTCTCTGTACTGGTACCCTTACCGCCCAGACTCATACAGTTATCTACCATTTGTAGTAAAAAAGAGAGAAGAGAAAGGAAGAAGGAGTCCACAGCCTGATGATGATTCAGCACTTATCCCAGATACTGGAATGACAAAACAAGAGCTAGAGGCACGTGTCATGTCACAATTAATGGAGCACAGATGTAACAGTGCAGACACATCAGTGAGTAAATCTTTTGACATAATGTCTAATGGCAGTAAACAGGACACTGCTAAAACATCTTCAACAATTCTAAGGAAAAGAGAGAAACAGGAGGATAATTTGCTAAACAAACATGTTCAGTTTAAAACAGAAAAGGAAACAGATGCACAAAGAGATGAAGATAGTAAATATTTTCATGATTCTGATTACGATGATTACGGAAACCTCATCAGAAAGAATGATACTGCAGTGAACACAGATTCAAGCTTGCTGTTTTACTCATCTCCTGGCATAGAACCGCGGCCAGTTTGGAAAAAATACTGGCATCATGATCCCACTCGATCTCTAAGTGCATCCAGTGGTGGTTCCGGAGGGACCAGAAAATTGACTTATACAAATAAATTCAGAGAAACAGCCCCTCAGGCACCCTTGGAAGCCAGGAATCAGAGGAATCCTCCATATGATGGTGAGTTATAACTTGCTCCGCATCATGTTTCTAACAGATCTCAGTATGATTGTGGGTAAAAACTGGTTCTAGAATTCTTCATGTGACGGTAAGTGAAAACATGTCCAGCTCTTGCCTTTAATCCTTCATATGGTGGTAAGTGAAAATGTGTCCAGCTCTTGCCTTTAATCCTTCATATGGTGGTAAGTGAAAATGTGTCCAGCTCTTGCCTTTAATCCTTCATATGGTGGTAAGTGAAAACATGTCCAGCTCTTGCCTTTAATCCTTCATATGGTGGTAAGTGAAAATGTGTCCAGCTCTTGCCTTTAATCCTTCATATGGTGGTAAGTGAAAATGTGTCCAGCTCTTGCCTTTAATCCTTCATATGGTGGTAAGTGAAAACATGTCCAGCTCTTGCCTTTAATCCTTCATATGGTGGTAAGTGAAAACATGTCCAGCTCTTGCCTTTAATCCTTCATATGGTGGTAAGTGAAAATGTGTCCAGCTCTTGCCTTTAATCCTTCATATGGTGGTAAGTGAAAATGTGTCCAGCTCTTGCCTTTAATCCTTCATATGGTGGTAAGTGAAAATGTGTCCAGCTCTTGCCTTTAATCCTTCATATGGTGGTAAGTGAAAACATGTCCAGCTCTTGCCTTTAATCCTTCATATGGTGGTAAGTGAAAACATGTCCAGCTCTTGCCTTTAATCCTTCATATGGTGGTAAGTGAAAATGTGTCCAGCTCTTGCCTTTAATCCTTCATATGGTGGTAAGTGAAAATGTGTCCAGCTCTTGCCTTTAATCCTTCATATGGTGGTAAGTGAAAACATGTCCAGCTCTTGCCTTTAATCCTTCATATGGTGGTAAGTGAAAATGTGTCCAGCTCTTGCCTTTAATCCTTCATATGGTGGTAAGTGAAAATGTGTCCAGCTCTTGGCATCAATCCTTTGTGTGAGGGTAAGTCAAAACATGTTTAGCTCTTGACAACTAACCTTCATGTGATGGTAATTTAAAACTTGTTTAGCTCTTGTCACTAATTCTACATGTGACAGTAAGTGAAAACATGTTTAGCTCTTGTCATGTTTAGCTCCTTCATGTGACGGTAAGTTAAAACTTGTTCAGCTTTTGTTACTAATCCTTTATGTGATGGTAACGGAAAACATGTTCAGCATCTTGTCACCAACATAAAGTGTCAGAGGGCACACTTAACATTTCTGGATCATTGTTTGAAAAAGAATCATCGCTGGAGCTACAGTGTGCATGCTCTGTGCTTGATACCATCTTCAGGTGGCAACGGAGAATGGGAAGAGGTGATTTGTACTTTCGTCCCTGGCTTGTGAACTGGAAGAAAGAATAAAGAGCCTCATAAATCACACTAATTCAGAACGTCAGACAGACAACTACTGTTAGAATATAGCGAACTAAATAAAATGACAAAGAAAAGTGCCAGAGCTGACAAGAGAAGATTTATGGAAAATCTTGCAGAAACAGCAGAAAATGCTGCTAAAGCACATGATCTACAAACCCTACACAAAATTACTCAGCAAATTTGTGGAAACAGAAACAATTATCACAGCATACCCATCAGAGATAACCAAGGCAGACTGCTCACCACAGAACAAAAACAAGACATGCAGTGGATTAAACACTTCTCCGACCTCTTGAACAGACCTGATCCTGATAATTCCCCAGATATTCAACCAGCCTCTCAGGACATTGACATTATTACTGAACCACCAAGCAAACAAGAAATCCTTAAAGCTATCCACATTTTAAAGAACAACAAAGCACCAGGCAATGATGAACTGCCAGCAGAACTTCTCAAAGTAGATCCCAACACAACTGCTAGCATTTTAGAACCATTGTTCAAGGATATATGGGAAAAAGAAGTGTTGCCTGATGACTGGACTGAAGGAACAATAGTCAAAATCTCCCAAAAAAGAGAATCAACAGACTGCAATAATTGGAGGGGAATTACTCTACTCTCAGTACCAAGCAAAATATTTTGTAAAATCATCATAATGCGGCTTGAAAAAGGAGTAGATAAATGCCTACGAGTGGATCAAGCAGGATTCAGAAAGGGCAGAGAAACAACTGAGCACATCTTCGCCATACATAACATTTTAGAACAATGCAACGAATGACAGAGAAGTATATATATTAATTTTGTGGACTTTGAGAAAGCTTTTGACAGCGTCCATAGAGACAGTCTGTGGAAAATTTTACGACATTATGGAATTCCAGAAAAAATAGTCAACATAATTGCTCTCTTCTAAAAAGACTTTTCCTACAGTATAAAAAAATTACAATACATCTTTCCCAGTAAAGACAGGTGTAAGACAGGGATGTGTTATGTCATCTCTCCTCTTCAACCTTGTGATTGATTGGATACTAAAGAACACAGTAGACAGGACATTAAGAAGCATAGGATGGACTCTATTCACCATGCTTGAGGACCTTGATTTTGCAGATGATATAGCACTCCTATCACATAAACATGAACATATACAAGAGAAAAGTAACAGACTACACTGCACAGCAGAAATGGTGGGACTGAGATTAAATACAAAGAAAACTAAGATCATGACAAACAGTCCAAACCAACAACCAGTGACCATAAGTAACCAATCACTTGAAAATCACATTTCACATATCTTGGCAGTGTGGTGTCCCTACTGGGAGGGACAGAGGAAGACATACAGTCACGCCTGAACAAAGCTAGAGCTGCTTTTGGAAGGATGAGGCAAATCTAGAAATCCAACAATTACTGCAGAGGAACAAAACTCCGACTCTACAAGAGCATCATTTTGCCAGTTCTTCTTTATGGAGCGGAATGCTGGAGAATGACCAAAAAGGATGCACACAAGCTGTCCACCTTCCACCACACATGTCTATGTAGAATTATCAAAATTTCTGGCCAGATACAATCTCAAACACTAAACTACTTCAAGCCACAAACCTAGAAACTTTAGACAGTATGATTACCAAGAGAAGATGGAAATGGCTTGGCCACGTTATGAGAATGACTTCTGATATACCTGCCAAAACAGCTCTCACATGGACACCAGAGGGAAAGAGAAAACAGGGACGCCCAAAAACAACATGGAGACGAACGATGGAAAGTGACCTGAGTGCGGCATCTTTGACATGGAAAACTGCACTGAAGATTGCACAGGACAGGAATGCATGGAAAGTCCTCTCTGAAGCCTCATGTGCCACTAGCCATAACGAGAACTGATTGTGAACTGTATAGCAGCTGTCCTGCATTCACGTATGGTTGCCTTTCGCCTGGGTACATGGACCTCAAAACCATGTAATATCGCCCCAGAGTAATGTAATTTCACCAGTGCTCTTCAATGTGTATACAAGCAAGATTGCAGAAATTGAAGCACCAGGTGTTGGAAGGATATTAACATTTGCTAATGATGTTCTTGTATATAGGCAGGGAAGTGATAGGTAATGGATAGCCCCAGAGCTACAGGCAACTGTAGACAAAATGACTGACTGGTGTGCAAACATGGGTGCTGTCATCAGTTTAAAAAAAGGCGGCTGTTTTGTGGTGCTCTCAGGACATTAGAATTGTAATAGCTAATGTTCCAAGCCTCACAGTTAATGACAATAACAACATCAACAGAGAAAGCCAACTGCATTTGATCCTGTCGGTGATAGATTATGAACTCTGAATGCTTACCATATCAAAGAGTCAGCTGATGAAACTTGAACGCATACAGAATGAAGCCATCCAGGTAATTCTGGGATGTACAAGAGATACTGCGGTAGTATGTATGAGATATATACTGGCACTGCCTTCTGTAGCTGATAGGCCCAAAGTTCTGCAAGCAAAGTCATATTTTAGAGTAGCTACAGACAAGGAACACCTGCTGCATGAAGCCCAGGGTAGAGCTAAGGGTCACAGACTGAAAAGCAGAAGGTCTTGGATGGCGCAAGCTGAAGTCACAATTGGATATGTGTGCAGGCTCGATAAATTTAAGCGAGGAGAGGAGTAGGTCAAAGTGTCTGAGCAAGTTTCTGACTTGTGTAGATTTCATATCACTTTGAGTTGTGAGTGGAGGGACTGGCCAGCTGGTGCTGTAGAATCAGAAGTTCAACAAATGATTTATGACATTTCCCACCCAAGTGATGTGATTATCTATACAGATGGCTCTGTGTTGAGGGGCAGACGAAGTGCATAAGGGTTCATAGCAAAAGCGAATGGTTGCCGCTTGGTGCAGCGAAGCCTGGCATATGATATCACGTCTAATTTGAGAATGGAGGTGGAGGCAGTCACGACTGCCTTTCACTGGCTTGAGAATCAGCTGTACACACATGCCGTGATTGTAACTGACTCGCAGACATGCTGAGAAAGGTAGAGACAGGCATGCTCCATGCAGAGTGGTAAGCATCATTTCCAGAAGTTCCAGGTAGTTAGCATTCTTTTGATTTTTTCTCCAGGTGATGCCGGTGTGTTGGAAAATGAGCAAGCAGATATACTGGCTGGTTCTGCACCAATTGGTGGTGAACTAATGTATGACAAGCTGGATATTGTGAGGCCTCTTTAAGAGCGATTGAGCAGTACGGAGGCACAGATAGATTATTACGGTCTGGGGAGAATGATGCTGCGAGGAGTTACAAGGGAATCTGGCCGACGCTCAACACTCAGGGAAAGGCGAGATGGATATACAATCAGACGGTTACTGGTGCGATTGGAATTGAAACTCTTTGTTTGCTACTGAAGATAGGGACGGAGCACTTATGGGGGTGTCCTGAGTGATGTGATGTCAATTCTTAATAAAACATTGAACTTACATTCAACATTGTTGGAAAAGTAAAGATCACTTCTTATAGTCCATGCAATGTGTCTTCAGTCATTGTGTCTATTTAGTCTTCTGTCTTTAGAAGCTGCTTGTCATGTCTTACACAGATGTTTGTACCTGCAATGATGCAAAAATGACTAACAGAATAACAAAGAAAACATACTCAAGCAAGCATACGTACACATGTGTATACGCATGCATGCACACATGCACACTCACGATGGGTTTTTCCAAAACAGATACTCCCACTGGGGGTAGGGAATATAACAAACTGGACAGTAAAGTTCAAATGTACAAAGTGTCATTGCGTTATCATTATCATTTACCATGCCCTATTATGTTACAAGGCATTTGAAAACAAATAAAGTAAAGGTCCCTTTTCCACGAATGTAGGCATATTGGGAATATAGGGCTAGACCTTTATTTTTATAGACCAATCAGCACTTGGTGGGTGATGTGGTCAGTATCACGCCAGCCGCCTTTACTTTCCATGACTGCACCTGGTACCCCTCAAGGCCCGGTCGACCTGATTGTCAAGGTCATTGTTTGAAAAAAGTCTGGCTCCATCAGGACGTGAACCCACGACCTTCCGATCCACAGGCGGGCATCTAGTCCCCAATGCCAAGACAACTCCTTTCAAAAACAAATGTCTGAGAAAAATGGTGAACATATAATAGGGTGAATTCAAGGGGAGTAAAGAAATAATAGAAATGTCTGGGCAACCAGTAGTATCAACAGTGAGACAGAGAAGATAGCACTATATCGGACACATTCTAAGAAGAGAATGTTGAATATTGAATTGAGAATCAAGAACACAGCACTTGGGACACTCCCATAAGTACTCCGTGCCCATCTTCAGCAGCAAGCAAAGAGTTTCAATTCCGATGGCACCAGTATACGTCTGATTGTATATCCGTTTCATCCTTTCCCCTGAGTGTTTGAGCGTCGGCCACATCCCCTGGTAACTCCTCGCAGTGCCATTCTCCTCAGACTGTAATGATCTATCTGCGCATCCGCACTGTTCACTCATTCCCAAAGGGCCCTCACAATATCTAGCTTGTCATACATCAGTTCACCACCAAGTGGTGCAGAACAGGCCATTCTATCTGCCTGCTCATTTCCTAAAACACTGGCATGACCTGGAGAAAATATTCAAAAGATATTCTGAGAAGAGATAAATAGAGAATCACTAAACAGGCACTAAAATAGGAAGTATAGAGATTGATTAAATGAGAAAGTCCAAAAGAAACCCTAGGGCGAACATTGATGAGAGAAGCCAAATTGCTGGACTGGATTCCATCCATATTATTGAAGTGATTGCACAGGATAAAATGGAATGGAGAAATAGATTGGAGCCCTGTGGGACATATAATTGCAGAACAGAACAATGAATGAGTGAATGAATGAATAATGTTACATAGGGATTTGTACATCTGCTTATGGAGACAGTTGTGCAGGTTTAGTCTACATAAGTGGCAAAGTTGGCCTAGAATATGGGAAGATTGCCATTTCTCACGTCATCTGGATTACTTTACCAGAAACTACATTTTATTATCCTTTACTTCATTATTCTCATTTTATTTAGTGGAGTGGCCCAGTTCTGCCTTCAGATATGTGGATGTGTTTGCAAAGTCTGATCACACCAACTCTGTGAGAGATTGTTTGTCCGCACCTGAACTTTCAACAAAAGAGAATGTTAGTCCAAGCATTCAAAGTAACACTGTTGCATCCCAGCCCCTGGCAAAATTGACTTCTGAGGAAAGAGAGGAGATTCGCAGAGCAAACAGGTAAAATCAGCCCAATTTATAACTTTTTTTGTAATGAGAAAAGACAGGTTACAACAGACCCTGAATGTAACAAGAAGAAACAGGATCAGAAATAATAGGAACCAATGCTAAGCTACATCAAGAAGTAACTGGTTCAGTTGTGTCCAGATGACCACAAGACAGTGCACTATGGAGAGCCCTGTCACTTAGACACAACAGAAGCAGTGCTAAACTACATAAAGAAAAAAAGTATTCAAACATGTTTCTAGATTATCAAAAGATGGTGCATCACAGAGAGACCTAACACAACGACACAAAGGAAGCAGAGCTAAACTACATCAAAAAGTAAATTGTTTAGACATGTCCAGATGACCACAATGCGTTGCAGCATAGAGGGCCCTGTCACTTAGACACAATGAAAGCAGAGCTAGAGGTCACTAATAAGCATAGATGTTTTTCTGTCTAGATACAAACATGTTTTAATAATTATATTTATTAATATAAAAAAAGTCTGTTTTGTTTGGAGGCTGACAGTGAAAGACGGACTGTCACAGTTTGAAATAAGCCAAACGCAGCAGTCTACAGAGGATGTCTGAGAGAAAGCCAGCCTTATTGAACGTTTTTATGCGGACCATGTAGCAGAGATCAGGGACTGATGGTTGCCTACACAATGATGATAAACTATTACTGATTATGCAGGACAGTCTGCGTCTCTTTTTATAGATCTAAAAATCTTTTAGAGGTTATAGGATTAACTTAATTGCACTGATCCTTAACGTATATAGTTTTGTCTCTTTCTCTCCCAGGATGCTGGCCACCTTTTGAGAGACTTACACAAGGAACATACTCAGTAGAATAGTCACCACATAGGCATTTAGGGTATTTCAGGTTTATAATATCCTAAGCGTAACGGCATTGTTGAGAATGGGAAACTGCAGAGTCTTGTCCTTAGACGACTTTAACTATTGTTTGGGCTGACTTACCTGATGCTGATGATATTGATCGTAGTGATGATTATGATGCTAATGATAATGATGATATATAATGGCACCTTGGCACTTATCTATCTTTCTTGTTTTATTGTGCTATACGGAGGCATGGGACTCACAGACCATGGCAATGGCCAGTGTGACTAGCACGACCCACCTGCATTAGGAAGAGTCTTCCACAAACAGTGTGTGGGATTTCAGGATAGTTCTGTTTAGTGTGCTTCTTCTCAGGCGCTCAGCTCTCATCCTTTCTGTGATAATTCTTTCCTTTATTCTCTTTCACTTTCTGATTTCCTCCCTTTATGGCATTTTGTTCCCACAAATCTAACTCAATACTTGTACCATTCATATCCCCCAAGCATACTCCTTTTTATCATAAGGGAGGCCAGGCTCAACATTTTCTACCCTTCTGTAATTCATCATAGAGAATGTCCTTAGGGATTCTACCATCCTGCATTCTCCAGGTGTGACCCAGCCACCTGAGCCTTCGTAGACTGAGCATTGAGAAAACAATTGTAATATGTGCACTTTCCAGTACCTCAATGTTTGCGATCTTGTTTTGCCACTTAATGTTAAGTATTCTTCTTAGGCCTCGCACGTGACAGCTTTTTAGCTGTTTCTCCTGGTGCGAATAAGTTGACCAGGTTGCTTTATAATCATGAATGATGAGTATGTATTTTATCAAACTATTGAAAGTTCATATATAGATAAGCAGTAACTGGCCACAGCTGTTGCTAATATTTTTTTTTTTTTATTTGTTTGATAAAACTGGTTATGTTTTACATTGTTTAGACGCAGGCGAGTGCTGAAGCGTGAGGCTGAATGGCAAGAAAGACTTGGGGAAGAAAACAGCATGAAAGCACTAATGCAAGACAATCACAGGGAGAGAATCCTTCAACAGCTTGAAAGAGACCAGCAGCGGAAAATTCAGCAGCAAGAAGACATACAAAGAGTCCGTGAAGCAAAGAAGAAGATCAGCGCTGACCTGAGAAAGCGTATTGAAGCAAACCAGAAAGATGAAGCACAGAAAGAAGCAAAGTAAGCTCCATGAAAGATTGACAGAGCTTATTTTTTTTTAAATTTAAGAATAAAGGAAAATAAAATATGTCAAAGATTTTCCCATACCTCGAGGCATATTGAATATATAGTGCTAGCTCCATTTTTATAGATTAATTAGGTCAGACGGGTGATATGATCACTGTCATACTAGGAAAAGTTCAAGTTTTTGGAAATTAGAGAAGAAAAAAGAGTAACCCAAATATTTTTACAAAGAAGAAAGGGCTCTAAGAAAACTCATCACACACATCAGCAAACAGTCATCATTTGTGGCCATGTTGTGAGAAAGGGAAACTACAACATGATGTGACCAATGAAAAAATTTGTGGAAAAATATACAGGAAACAACACGAGAAACAGCCTTGTCTCATGGCACTGAGGGGTGTCAGCACATAAACTGATGCATGCTGTTGGAGATTGCAGGTGCAGAGAGGCATGATCACCTTGGCCAGTTGGCAATTCACTTGATGAAGAATAAAAACAGACTGAATGAAATACATTGTTTATACAACTTGTGAATTTTTAGTCCATTCAAAGCTATTTATGAGTTTATATTAATATAACTTTTAGAATACAAACTCATATTTGTCCCGACCCTCACAGGACTGCAGGATATAAAGAAAGAAATTCCACAGAAATGTCAGTATTTTCAACAAAAACCTTCTATTTCAGCCGAATTACAGCTTTGTCAAAAGGAAGGGAAAGAAGAGAGCAGATTGAAATGCAACATGAACAAGAAATTCAAGAATGTGTTGAAAGAAGACAGGTAAGAACAAATTTAGATTATTTTATATTTTTCTCTCAGGCACACATAAATCTTCTGCTTTGAGGTGCACATATGAGTTCTTGTCTGTTGCACTTGTTAATGCTGTGAACACATGTTTCCTGTATGAAGGGTTGTGTGTTTAGTACCTATTTATGTCAGTTAACATGGAAACACATAGTTAAAATGCCAAATTGTAAGAAAAGATTAGATCAGAAATGGCAGCATACAAAATTGAGTAGAATGTCAGTATTTCTTTAGAAATAGTGAATCAGATTATTTAGTCATATGACAAGATTATCCCTTCCTTTCTCCCAGACAGCTTCCAACATACAGCTTTTATATTTTGATACATTAGAATCACCAAAATGTAGATCACCAAGTTAATTACAGTGCAACCAGAGACAATGAACACCACCTTATACACAAACTTCACTAGGGCCTTGTCAAGAAAGCTTTTCCCAACTTGATGATGAAAGGCATAACAAAAGTTGACAGAAGACACAAGAGGATCACAACTTTGAAATAAACAAGCCCATGTGATGCCCTAGCCCATAAAGGATGTAAATAAAGGGAATACTGCAACACACCATGCATGTCATAAGCGGCATTTATGGAGGCTTGGTATCTCATGTGCCTCGTCCCATAGAAAACTTTAGTTGCAAAATTCCGACATTTATAGACAAGTTCATAAATGGCGTGGCATGGGGTTGTTGGAATCAGTGGTAAAGAAACTGAAAGGCATGTGAAGAAGAAGAATAAGAGAATAAAGAGGAGAAGAAATAAAAAGTTTTTTTTTTCAAATTGCATGGCTAAACACATGAATTATCTTGTCAGTCTTTGATAAATGTTGTAGTACCTTAACAGCCAATCAGCATTGTCATTTCTGTAACCATTATTGCCTTTGTGAATATAATGTGGTTAGGCCTCAGTCTCTTCCACGGTGTGACTCTCGTATCACTGTCCAAAAACTACGTGAATTCATCTCATATTAATCCTCTGGCATCTTGTGGTGTTGAGGTGAAGTATAATTTATGGAAAAGTGCCCATTTGTGTGCTTTGTAAATGGGAATTCCCAGGACTCTGTTATTCCTTCTGTCCATCCTTGCATTGTTGGCCTCTCCTTCACTTCCCGCCTGGTCAGTACATCATTGCTTGCTGTGGTATACTGTTTGCTGACATCCGCTTTACATGGCCAAACCATTTCACATGTTGTTTTCTAATGAAACCCAGAGCTGATGTTACCCTAATTCTCCTTCGGATTTCATCATACCCGATCTGATCTCTTATTGTTATATTAAGAGCCCTTCATAGAAATCTCATTTCGGTTGTTGTAATTTTTATTATTTATTTTTCTGTCATTGTCCTTGTACAGCATTGTTAGCACTGAACTGGCAAGAAGATTTTGTCATAGAATGCTCTTCTGATTTCTACTGACACAGGTTTGTTTCTTAGTACTGGCGCCATTTGCCCAATAAGTTGGTTTGCTTTATTACATCTATCATAGATCTTATCTTCTGTTTTGCTGACTGATGGTATTATGCTTCCTAAGTATTTGAAGTGTTTGGTCTATTTCAGAGAGTTTTCTGTAAGCTGGATATTTATGGTTTTGTCTACTTTGCTATGTTCATGATTTCTATTTTGTTGGCGTTTATTTTTATGTCATGCTCTTTGCAAATTTAGCTTAAATCATTTATATAGTCTTGCAGTTTCGCTTCTGAAGTAGCAACTAGTGTTTGGTCGTCAGCAAATAGTTTGTTGTATTATAGTCCTTGCCAGGTTGGATTCTTTACAGAAAAACAAAAAACAAAAAACTATCAACCATACACATTTAACCCTTGTACACAAGGAGCATGAAGTTGTTACACTCATTCACTAACATCTGGCCCACACTGTACTGTTTTACACACACACACATACACATATAATATATTTATGAATAATTTAAAGTAAATTTGCATCTTTTCTTTTACAGCAAATCCACAAACAGAATAATGAGGCTCGTATGAAAGCCAATGTAGAACGACTGGATGAAGAAGCATTAAATGCTGCTAAATTAGAAAAGCAACATCAGAAGGCAAAATTGCAACGCTTACGTCATTTTCAGAAACTGGAAAAAGAGGGTCAGAAAAAGAAAGATCTAAGATCTTCTGTAGCAGAACAGCACCAGGCTATCAACCGTTCCCATATATTTTCATGAGACTGTAAAATCATTTTATGGCCTTAGATCTCTTCCTATTTCATTTTGTAATAGCTTAATAATGTGAACAATATGATGTACATTTTTATCTGTTTAGCTTACAAAAGAGTCAATTGTTTGGTCTTCAGATTATTTTGTGAATGAACCTTTTTCAACATAATGTAAATTTTATACGTCTGTGTTTTAAATATCTAGGAATGAAATTAAAAAGTTAGTAAATGGGATGAAGAAATTAACCTTTTATGCAGTAAATTGAATATATAGTGCTATATATAGTTCTATGGGACATCTAGCCACCTCCCCCCCCCCCCCCCATCCCACAGCATAAGACAATCACAATCAGCATAAAGAAACATCTCATACAAACTGTATTTATTCCCATCCTATGCAACCAGTGCTAGACATGATGACTGGGACACAAATCTGAAAAGAAAATTAGTAACCATGGAAATGCGGTGTCTGAGTAGTTCTGCAGGAGTGAACAGACATGATAAAATTAGGAATGAAGTCAAAAGAGAACATTCTGGCGAAGAAACAACTTTAAATTAAATGCAAGGACGTCAAATAAAATGGTTTGCTCACTAGGAGAAGCACCATGCCTAACCAAGTCATGAACAATCTGTCACAGAAGTCACGCCATTTTGAAACTTCCTACTCCACTCATAACTTGCTGGAGTGACAGGCATGCATCATTATACTGGAACTTAATTAGCTAATGAATTTCCATAAGTTTCACCCCCTCAGTGATTTTTTTTTTAATGGATTACAGAACGCTGCTCCTCTCTGGTACATGTCAAAAGTGGGGTTACCATATTTAAGCTTTCATTATGACATCATTGTGTTTGTTTGCACTGTGATGTCAAACACTTAACATTCTTGGCATCTTTAATAACAATACTGACAGGTTACAAGATAATGGCATGGTTATTGTAATTTCTATCACACTTTTGAGGTTTTAGATTTAAAGCCCCCTCGTATATTAATTCTTTGTACCTCTGTTCCACCGTGTCTCGAGTGAGCTGCTTCAAATCTAAATATTCATAACTTTTAAGCTCATCAGTCTGGCATAGAAAGAGTTAAATTAACAGAGACATACTGCCCAGAACATTGGTTCTGTTATGCTGCTTCTATTCTCGTTCTGACAAAATTTTGTTCCATCTGCCAGCCTTGCATGCAGGCTATCTGTGATACTTGTAAACTATTTTACTGTTCTATTTATGTTTATATGTTCTGTTATATTTCTGATGTAATTTCATTTAATTTTGAATTTAGTGGGTTATTACTAACATATCTCTTACTTTATTTGGTAAGATACATAATTATCACTGTTTTGCTCAATGGAAATCCTTTTTGTTGTAGTGAGTAGTATAATGTATTTATGAACATTTAACTGGCTTGTATGTACTACATAAGTATTTTTGTTTTAATGAATCCTAAAACATAACTGCTATTAAACTACTTTTTTTTTAATTGTTGCTAGCTTTGTGAAATAATTTGTTACATTATTGTTGATTTAATATATCACTTTACAACTTTCACTAATATAAATTACTTTACACTTTTGGTGCTAGGCAATTTCTGTGTTTTACTAAAGCCACTTTTTATTTTTAAATGTAAGCAGATTTAGATTGTTTATAGACTAGAAACATACTTTTCTACATGTCAAGGATGAACAGAGATACAGAGTATGCAGATATAGATGGCATAGTGATTTCTTCTTATTGTTTTCACCCACCATGTGTAAACTACGATGAAAAGGTGTGGTTGTTCGTCTGCTTCTAGATTGTAATCTTGTTCCAAAACTTGAGTGATGCATGCACATTAGTTTTACAGATTTTGCTTACTTTATGCAGACTGCATTCCTTATGTCACAAGCACATGCACTCCGACTTAGAAGAAAATCCCTGATTAGTCAACTCTTATGACACGCTCGTTAGAGAGCCAGTGGGTCTGTTCTGGTTTTCTTCATGATGGGACCATGGAACACACATGAGAATACCAGATATTTGAAATCTTAGGAATTATTTGAAAAAACTTCTTTTTTTTCTTGGTTCGTCTTTAAAATAGCAGTTGTGATCTTTTTTTTTTTTTTTTTTGTATACAACTAGGCTGCAACATCTGCCTATTTAGCCCAGCATATTCAATTTCAGCAAACCCTTAATTAGTCACCTTCAACGATGTGTGAACACTGAGAAAAAGATAGAAATGCTACAGTACAGCATGTTTCCCTTTTGAATTGCTAGTGCTAATGTGGGTTGGAAAAAAGCTGATTGAGCAGCTCAATATATGTAGCTATAATGAGACAACATTATTCTTCTGGTGTGGAATGAGAAGCGAGGTGCTGGGGAACACTGGAAACACTGTGGTGACTGCAAAGATAAGTGTTGGAAGTGCAGAATCTCAATAAAATTGATCTAGAGTGCCAGTGAGTGAGATCAGTGTGAGAGACATGAATCCCAAATCCACCTGACAAGGGATTTGATGATGATAATAACTGTTGCTGAAAGTACCACTTAACACACACAAAAACAGCTTAATTGTTAAACTAATGTTCATTTATGTAGACTGTGTGCCTTGAAAAACTATTAAAAATCTTTACTGTTCTAATCTTGTTTGTTCGATTGAGAAACAGAAAAATGTTTTGTGTTTATAGCCTCAACATTTCATTTGATAAAGATCTACTTATTTATGTAATAAATGAACAAGATTAATTGAATTTTACCTTCATTTTACAAAGAAGTACCTCCCCCTCTGGAGCAGGGCCCCCCCCCCCCCCCCCCCCCCCCCCCCCCCCCCCCCCCCCCCAAAAAAAAAAGAATTTGAGTTTGGAGATCGAATATTTTTATTAGCTTTCAACTGTTTTGTCATATCCTCATTGAAATTAATGTGTATGTAGGAAAGATGTTTTAACTTAACACCTCACAGGAAAGTGTTTTCATTGTCGGTAGCATGATCAGAGGTGCGTGGATATGCGCTGACTGACTGACTGACTTTCTACTCCACTAGGACATCACACAAGCGATAAACACCCGATGACACAAAGTGTCACCACGTGGATGAGGATCGCCGTGGAGAGGTCCCAGAAACCGCGTTCAGACAATTGACCATATTAATGGCCTGCCTATATTGCAGCCCCTGGCAAAAGCCAGCGTGGGGCTTCAAATAACAAAAAATTTCATCATAAAAAGGACGAAACTGGATTGAACCAATCAATCATGGATATGCGCTGTCATGCAAGATCATTTAACATCCTCTTCAGCTCTTCAGTTAGCATCTCACTGTAAAGAAAACTTTTGATTGTTAAATCTGTTCCCTAATAGTGTTCTTATACTGGCAATGAGGTAATATTTTCGCACCAAAAAGAGGAGCTATACATTATTTGTTCCGTAATGTTACCCTGCCTGTGATATGTTGACGGTATAGTTTTATCTCAGAAAATGAAACAGCTGCAAAAAATGATGAACATAACTGTAACAGAAAGACAAAACAATAGAAAAACAAGAGTAATGGTAATTACAAAGAAAATGAGCCTCTAAAATTCAACATAAAAGTAAATGGGACCGTCCTCTGGCAAGTTTATACGCTTAAGTAATAATAACAAATAGGGGATGCATTAAAGACATTAAATAGCTCAAGGAAAGGCAGCATTTCACAAAATGAAGAATAATGTGTGCAGTGTGTCTCTGTCAATTGAGGCGAGAAAGATAATTCCCAAGAGCTACAAAAAGCCTATCCTGATATACTGAAGTTAATCATAGTGAGTTGGTCGATCTTCTTCTTCACTTCCTCTTTTACCGCTGCGGGTGTCGAGGGAGATATAAGGTTCTGTTTCTAGCTCTTCTGACCGCCCCGACCATAGACACACCGTGCTGTTGTAGAGTTTCTCTGATGTTATACTTCAATCTTGTTCTTGGTCTACCTCGTGCTCTACGTCCTTCTTCTCTTTCCATGTATGCTTTGTATGGTATGTTGTCACAAGGCATTCTCTCTAAGTGAGTTGGTCGATAAGGGAAAAAATTAGTGGAAGCAGTGGGGTTGTAGCTTTATAGACGAATGATGAGAACACACTGGACATATAACAAAAAAGAGTAATGAAACTGTCTTAAAAGAAACTGACTGACGAAACGAACTGACTGCCCACATCAGAAGGAGCAATCTAAATTGTTTGGTCATGACATGAGGAGGAGAAGACTGGAGTACATCGTGACACACAAGAAAGCATGGTTTTAATTATTAGTTTTGTAATGACTTCATGCCATTTTTTTCCTTCTGTCTTTACTATCTAAAGATGAATTTACAAAAACGATTAGAACAACGACTATAATTAAATTCATGACCTGAGGGGGGGGGGGGTGGCGCTAAAATTTCATGAAAATTAATTCAGTGATGCCAACAACGAGAGCAGCTCACAACATGAAAGTAGAAACAACAAGAGTTGGGGACGACCAAGAAGAACATAGACTGAAAAAGTCACTGATATCTTGAGACTCCATATCACAACATACAAGGCAATCGAGCGTGCCCTAGCTCGGAAACCATTCATCTGCTGACCAGATCTGTAAAATAGATGTGCACGGAAAAACAAAATTTCAGTTCTGGAACAAGGCCAGAAGTGGACGAACATCCAGAACTTTCCGCCAGAGTTTACAGCCGGTGATCGCTAAGAAGTATAGGAGGGATGTGTTATTACATACATGTACCCTGTTTTATTATGGTCACTTTTATTGTCAATCTGAACGTTAGATTTCCAAATAATTAATGTGCTAATTCATATATGTTTGTGCCTAACACTCTAAGTATAATCCTGCAGTTAGAATATGGATGCAAACTGATGGCTGAAAAGTGTACTTTCGTGGTAGTAAAAATAAGATGTAGCTAGCATCAGTCATAATATTATAATCCAAAAAAAAAATATTATTTGGATCGCCAAGATTCATGTGTTCTTCTTTAGTGCATGATAATCATTTATTTTATTTTTCGTTTGGGAGGTCAGACGCGCA